TTAGAGTGGCACTTTATAAACTGCTCTGGCTTACAGGCAGCTTCTGTCATGTTGTCTAGAGATCAAGGAGAAATCCTGGTGAATAAGTTAAAGCTCCTCCCCAGCTGTAGAGGAAGAAGACTGCTGAGCTATGTCAAAGACTGACTACTTTCAAACAAGTCAAAGCTCTGTTCATTTTTTGAAGAGCAGAGACCTCAAAAAGAATAATAAGATTTTCTGCCTATGATCTGACTGCCCCATCTCCAATAGGAGGAGAGGAACGGTACCATAAAGCCTCCCAGCTCTGTGCATGTTTATATTACCCTAACTAAAATAAAAAGGAATCAGTCCTGCATGTTGTGTCCTTTCTCAGATTTACAGGGCAAGGAACAATGTCCCTTTCTCTCAACAGCCTCCAGTGAAATCATAGAATCACAGAAATCTTTGGTTTGGAAGGCACCTAAAGAATCACCTGGTTCCAGCTCATCTGCAGTGTCCAGGGGCACCTTTCACTAGACCAGGTTTCCAGAGCTCCATCCAGCCTGGCCTTGAACACTTCCAGGCATGGGGCATCCACAACTTCCTTGGGCAACCGGTGCCAGTGCCTCACCACCCTCTCAGAAAAGAATGTGTTCCTTTTATCAAATGTAAACCAACCCTCTTTCCATTTGCTGCCATTACCCCTTGTCCTGTCACTACATGCTCTTGTACAAGCCCCCCTCTCCACACTTCTTATCAGCTCCCTTTAGGTACTGGAAGGCCACAATTAGACCACCCCAGACCTTTCTCTTCTCCAGGCTGAACAACCTCAAGTCATTCAGCTTGTCCTTACATGAGAGGTATCCCATCCCTCTGATCATCTTCTGGAAGTCACGGTGGCTGACTCATTGTGTAAGCCTAGCTAGCCTAAGTCTATCACTTGTTTGAGAAAACATGGCAGAATTCAGCCTTGTAGACTACTTGTGCTGGGCCAGGTGGAGACTCTACCCCTTCCCCTTCTGACAGCAATCACTTCCACAGTGCAGAATTTAATGTTGAAATACTCATTGGGAAAGTATATAAGGGTCAAGGAAACAAAGAAATAGATTAGGTGAGTCAGGATAGACTGCTAGATAGATAGACTGCTCCCAAATTTAATTTTGAGTTTAAGTGAAGAGTCAAGACTATTTGAAGGTAATTAGTAAAGTCGTAGTATTTGTGGTAGTGGTAGGTGGTGCAAAAAGGGCCAGTGCTCACCACTGTACTTTGGTATGCTCAGACTGGATGTTAGGGCAACCATCTTCCCCAGGGAGATAGTGCAACACCTGAGCAGGTTACCCAAGAACTTGTGAAATCTCCATCCTTGGAGGTTTTTAATATTTACCTAACAAAACTGTGTCTGTCTAGTCTAATGCTGAAGATTATCCACCTTTGAGCAGGAAGTGGAACTAAGCAGCTCCAAAGGTTCTTTCCCACCAGCACTGGCAGGCTCTGGTGGACAAAGTTAAGGCATGAATGAGGAGGACACCATCCTTCTCCATGTCTACAGGCAGTCCTACATTCTCTGTCAGCCAGATCTGGTGCTGCTCCTGTGCTTAACCTGCTGGAAACCAGTGTGCAGGGTGAGGACCGATGGGAGAATGGTGTTTGCTGACAGTCGGGTCTTGGCCTGATGCTGAATTGCTTTGCAATTCTGCTGACTTTCTTTAGTTATCTTCAGTGCCAAATGGATATCATATTAAACCATATTGTTCTGGGGCATTGGATGAGGAAGTATGTAACAGTTGATCGATAATCATGAATTTTGAGAAGACAGTGCTGGGACTTGCCTTCATATAAGTTGTGAGACATCTGCTGTCACTGGAGCCACTGGCAGAATTTTGCTAGGCGGGGAAGAAAGGACTGGTTGCAGCAAACTGCGTGGACCCCTTGACAAACAAGCTCAGTGCAGCTGTTCCCTGTGTAGGTCACCCACTAGTGGGTGGAAAAGAAGTTTACTTGCACAATTAGCTGGAGTGAAAGTACCTGTAGAAAGAATCTGCACATATTACATCACTGTATAAATTATTGAGCTGGTGTTCTGGAGATAATAGAGGAAACCCTTTCTTTCTTCTGTCCTAAGGATGGCAACTCTGAAAGTTTACACCTGTTTCCTGGAAGTTGTACCTCCTGTAGACTCTGATTAGATAATTAATTTGCAATATTCATTAGCCAGAGGGTCAGTGTAATAATATATAGACAAACAGAAGGATTTCATGCTTATATATTGAGTCAGCTGTGGTTTTTTTTCTGTTCGTGGGTGAAACTGCTGTTGAATAAATGGCAAAAACCCACATAAACCCAAAACCAAAAAACAACCAAGTATTTTGATGTTTATCTGTATAATATTTCTGAGCAGTAGTTATAATCAGTAGTGAATCACAGGCAAGACAGAACCATGTGGCTGTAGCTGCATTAGGAGCTCTGTGCTTTTTCTTCTCATCTGCAGACAGAGAAGATTCCCAGAACTGAGTGGGAGAGATATGCGGTACCTGATATCACTCATGTTTTTCTCTCATATGTTCTATATGATCCAGCTAGACTCCAGTGTTTATAGGAGGACAGAAGCACAAGGACAATTCCTGCACAAAATCAGGCACCCATGAGCTTTCCCCAAATACAGAAGAGGTATGGAGAGCAGCTCTCCTCCGTGCTTTCTTCTGACTCCAGGAGAGATATGTTCCTCTGGTTTCTACCTTAACCTTTTTTAATAATTCCCTGAGTGCTGGCTTGCCCTTCCCTGGTGAGTACTCCTGGCCACGGGGATGGCAGTTGCAGGTGTATGCCCACAGCATACACCTGCATGCCCACAGGGACCTCTAGCCAGAAGTGCCTGCCTATTTTGGAAATGAAACTTTACACATGGTCACTTCCTTTATCACTGGGATCCAGTATTTTTTTGTGTTCCACCCCCTCTTCTTCCTGCCTTCTTCCGCAGAGGCCCACACAAGATCTCCAGGTTGTGGAGACTTGTCACAACAGCACAGGCAGAAGAAACCCGTCTGAAGGCACAGGAGGCAGGCAGCGGTGTGGGCTGGGATATATGGTAGTAGTCAAAATTAGGAGTGCTTGGAGGATTTCAGAGCTAAAAACAATGCCCACCTAATTCTCTTTCCCTCTGCTGTAATGAAATAAAGAAGGAGCTGCAGCTCCACTCCCTGTTCATCTGCACAGTTGTGCTTGCTGGACAAGTGTGTGCAGCTGGTACGAGGCTTTACTAAGGGAAACAAAACCCTCAAGCAAACTCACAAGTAATTTTCTGTTTCATGTGTCTGTCATGAAAACCCTGGTCATTTGTTATTTGGGGTGGTAAGCCCTACCGTGGTGAAGCTGCTGTTTCCTGCATCCCTCAGCCATCACTCCCAGCATCAACAACTTCCTGGAGTTGAGGCAGAAGACACTTATTGCTCTTCTGAAGCCAGGCCGTTTATTCAGAGACAGAATGCTGGACTACAGTTTTTGCGCAGGACTGTAAAAATGAAGCCAAGACTGTTGTTCAGTATACACTGTAATTCCAGGCACACCTTCCACTGAAACTGGTTCCCTGATTTCCTCCTGAGGATTCATTAACTACAGCAAGAACTTCATTTGTCAAGAGACAATGTTTTAGGTGTATGGAGATACCTGACAATTAAAGTAGATGTCTCAAGGGATATGTGGCAATCTCACATACAAGCTTACCCCCAGGTACCCAGGTACCTTTCAACTCTGGCTTCCAGCACTGAGGTACTCAGACTGTAGAAATGCTGAAAGACAGATTAGAAAGTGTTCTTTTAAAAATGGTGGAAAGTTGTTTTATATCGACTTGATGATTATTGGCATTTTTGAATTTTGACCTTCAAGGCCCTGAATAGGCATATTTGTAAAAGGTCAAATGATAAAAGGTATCCCATGTGTTCCAAATGCAGCCTTTACTCTGCCTGGTGAATATTTTAGTGACCCAGTTACAGCAAGAGGCTTTTATTGAACAGAGTAGGCAAATGCAGAGGGAAACAGAAGACCTGTCATCCCTGTGACAATTATACGTCTGTCTCTATTTGTGTAATCCACCCTCTCAGCCGGATAAACAAGAGCCTGTGCATGGGTTTTGAAGGGAAGGTGACCATCACCTCCTGCGATCTGGGTATTTTCTTGTGTACACGTCCGCTAGCCTGTAAAGCAGGTAAGTCTTAACCTCTGCATGATGATATTGTTTAGGACTCCAGTCCTACCCTGAAGTGCATTCTGGCTTTTTAATCTTTCTCCGGGGCTTATTCAACACATTTCACTCGTACTTGATTTCTACTTTCAGTTACTTTTGGAGTCCACTACTTTGCAAGTAATTGCATTTCCATCTGTTTTTTTTTATGTTGCTTGCCTGTGTACCTTCTTACTGTATGCTCAATGAAGCAAAACTTGGGGATGACCAGATCACACCTGTTTACTGCAGGCAATTTATAGGAAAAAGGCTCAGCCCAAGCAAATATGACTGAATAAATTGACAGATGATACTTATTCTTATTACGGATGATCTTCCTCTGAGCACCTTTAAACTGGTGTGGAGCTTCCTATATAAATGTACTTTCGCTTTCACAGATATAACTTTTCTTGAGAATATAGACATTTTCTTGAGAAAAATTTTAAATTAGCAGGTAGGAAAGTATGCCTTCATTTTTCCTGTATTTTCAAGTATAGGCACAAAAGATTTCCTTTTACAGCAGCTTTATAAAATGGATACACAGTTGATCATTTTCTTAAATAAAAATCCTTTCTTTCCATTTACCTTTTTGAAGTAATTTGAAGTAATTAGTTTAGGACCATGGGTTTGTTTTTTCTTTTTTAATTGCAGTCCATCCTTGCTCACACACAGCTAACAGGATGGATCAACTGAAAGCCTAACTTTTAGCCTGACAATCTCTGTCTTCATCTGGCCCTCCTTCCCTTCCCAGAGACTTGCCTTTGGTTTGACTCCTGTGCAATGGTAGTGACCATATCTTTGCCACACAGCTCTCCTGCTCACTGCTATGACCACTCCACTGGAAGATGCAATGGACACCTTAATCAGGATTTTCCATCACTACTCAGGCAAAGAAGGAGACAGATACAAACTCAGTAAAGGAGAACTCAAGGAGCTCCTCACCAGTGAGCTCATTGACTTCCTTTCAGTAAGATGCAGCTTTTGAACCTCCTGAGTGACTGTCATGAGTGGGTTAAACAGCTATCCAAGTGCTTGGATAGGAATAGCACCTCCTTGTGGAGCTGTACAGAAGAATATGATGTCAAATATCCCATTTGAGAAATATGTTTTCAGAGGGTGGTCAAGCCCCAGTATCCTCCCATGTACCACTGGCAGCAGAGATGGGTACTGGTGCTCTGCAAACTCCACAGTGCTTTTGTGCAAGAGGCCCAGGCCAACCCAGAAGCAGTACAAGATCACTGTTAAATAGCGATCTGTTAGTTTGTTTGTTTCTTTGTTTGTTTGTTTATAATAATAGAGCATAGATAAATCCATTGAAGAATTAAATGCAGCAACCAGTTGTCATGAGACAGGAAAATAGCTTGTGTACACTGGCCACACAGTACTGCTGCTTGTGTGCCTGCAGAGCGGTGCTGAGGAATCATTTCAATGATAAGCTGCTGATTTGAATAACTCTTTGCATGTTTGTTGTGTTCTACATTACACAGCATAAATGCTTTTATGGAATAATAAGCTTTAAAAATAATGTTTTTATGTATCCTCTTAATTGTAAAAATTATTGTGGACCCTATCCCAGAAGGGATTTCTTTACATTGCATCCATTTCCTTGAATTGGATTTTCTTTTAATCTTGGCTATTGATTTATTATTATGAGATTCAATGTTCTTGCTCCCACTGAATAGGATGGTTGTTTGTCAAGCAGAAGTCTGCTGAATTTGATGAATGGATATATAATATGACTATTTATGAGTATTCTGTTGGAAATCTAAGTGCTGTTTGTCAAGGAATGATACAGAGAAATGCACTTTACAGATCCATCTTGACAAAAGAAATCCATGTTCAGTATATCTCCTAAAATCTGTTTGATTCATTTCAGTCCCTATTTATAACCTGTATACCTTTTAAGGGCTGCACTGTCTTTAGTTTCTGATGTTGTAGTGACTAGAGATGTATTACTGTTCAGGTGCATATTTGATGCAGCCTTTTATTTAATAACATCAGCCTTGTAACAAAGCAGTGGTGCCAGGCGTCAGAATTGCATATTCAAGACCTGCACAGCTAAGTCACTTTTCTTTCTCTCTAGGGCCAAAAGGACCCCCTCCTGGTTGATAAAATTATGAATGACCTGGACTCCAATAAGGACAATGAAGTGGATTTTAATGAATTTGTCATGCTAGTTGCTGCTTTGACAGTGGCATGTAATGACTTCTTTGAAGAACAGCTAAAGAAAGAGGAATTTAAAAAATTCTCGGTGTAATCAATTTCCTGGCCACAAATGCAAGCAAAGCATGCCTAGTTAGGTAGCCCTCATTGGTGTTTAGTGAATGCAAACCATAATTCCCCCAACTGTTTCTGCTCTAAGACATTTATGGAGTTAATCAGCAGCTGGTGTAAGCTGGACCACAGCCAGCTTACACTACTTGAGATGTGTAATATTTCCAGTCTTTGCAGTCCATGCATCGGTAACATGCCTTCATCAGTTGCCCAGGTCAAGGGCTTGGGGTGACAGATCATTTGGCACAAGCTGAGACTTCCATTTCTTCAATGTCAGTGGAAAGTAAAAAGCATAGGAATGTTACTTATATACTTTCTGAATGAAAAAAATTGAAATGAGACATAACATTTGCAATTTAGTTTTCAGTCATGTTATAATAATCTATTTTGCAGCTCAAAACCAGCAGATTCTTTTTAGCTCAGTTCTGCTTATTCTAAAACCTTTGTTAGCTGTTGCTCCAAACACTCATATTTCAGATGTGGTCACAGCTGTCTCTTGCTGCTGGAGCATACAATACTGCTTGCCATTGTTATGGGTTCATTTCCTCCTGACTCCAGATTCAATTTTGTTCTGTTGGCATTGCTGCATCCCAGTAGTCAACCTCTTCACTTGGCATAAATGAATTTGTTCGTATCATAAATTATTCAAGTACATAGTGAATTTAGTCAGCAAATTGCTTGGAGAGCTGATGGAAGGTCTGGGTCTTTGGGGGACATGTGTAAATGCCTTCTGCTTTGACTACTTTGGCATGGTTAAAAGGAGGCCTTTTAGGACCACTTGTGGAAGATTTAATGATGAAATTCCAGGGTGGAACTTTGTAATGGCAGTCATCTTATGGAAAAATAATTATTTCATCTTACACTTATCCCCACCCTGTACGGAAGCAGGGGTTCCCGGAGCCCCATGGGCAGGTAAAGAGAGAATAGGACAGCCCCTTTCAGTGTTAGCTTTCTCTTGGGTTGAGTAAAGAGTATTTACTCACTTCTGTTTGAATTAAGCATACTTCTGAAGCCCTGCAAGTCCTCAGTGGCAGGATATTGTGGCTTTTTTTCCTGCATGGAGAGCTCTCTTATTTCGTTGTTATTTTTCTAGTAACTTCAAACGATAATAAAGGGCATCTGAACTAAATGAAGATTTTCTGTTTGTGTAAAATGTTATTAAAAAACCACTCACCAATGAAGATGTGCCCTGCTAGACAACATTTGAGGAATGTAGTTCACTTGTCTCTCCTTCCCAGGCATCCAAACTTAATTTAGCAAAGTGCACATTTGTAAGAAATTACATATGGTTAAGAATATGTAATTTATTATAAGCAGGAGAATTTGCAGGGTGTAATAAGTGTAACAAGGGGCAGGCATCATCCTAAGAACCACTAAATGGTGTTATCCCAGAAGAAAAACAAACTATGCAATGGTGACGATACCACAGCATGCTTTAATCCTTCAGCGACAAAGTTATACAGGATTAACACAATATCTTCTAGACCAACACAACAGAAAGTACAAAAGTAAAACTGGCAACAACTGGACAATTTTTTGTCCCCTCTAATGTCATGCACCTCAATATCATTGCAAGTGTTGCACCAGGATGGGAAAAGTATCAGACAGAAAACATATGACCATTTTTATGGTTTCTCATGGGCCCCAGACTGTTGCTAGCCAGTAAGCCTTTCCCTGTCCTCCAAGGGGAAGTAAGAGAAGAGCTGTTTAAAGCTTCAACTCCAAGCTAAAAGGAGTAAGGTTATCCCAGTAAAAACCAGTTCCTTCTTTAAAAAATTTGAACAAGAATCTTTCTGGAAAGAAGCTCCAGAAAGAAACCCATCCCTGACGAACCCTTGTACATGTAGCAGCCCATGTGCATAGCAGAATTATGCTGGGTCACAGCTGGCAGAAACAATTTGCCCTGGACTCAGTCAGCAAGAGTCATTGCTGCGGTGGGGAGAGTCAGCGGAGCCATCTCATCCGCTGAATTTGCTAGGGATTCTGTGCATCCTAACTGCTCTGTGGAAGGGGCTTACTTGCAGATGAGCTGCGGGAGAATCAGAGGAGAATGACTCAAATTATCTTTTTTCCAACAAAGTTTCATAAAACCTCATAAATCATTGTTTTTAGCTTGTCTTGTTACGTATTTCTTTGTTGCTGTTTTAACTGCAAGGACAAATATTAAACTCTGTCTGTTGTGTGAGAAGCAACCTTTTTGTACAAAGACTGGAAACCAAGCAGAAAAGTAAGAAAATGCACAAAACATATTCAAAAGCTCAAATCCACAAAGCCTTCACACAATATGGGGCCCTGGGGTAAGACTAGCCATCGTATTCTTGGGCTACCTATGGGCTGATCCACTGCACCAGTGACCCTCTCTCACTCCTCTCCCACAGGAGCCAATTAATGCTCCATTAGAACATTAGCTGTTACAGTAGACATCGCTTCTAAGATATATGAGGATCACCTGAAAGTTCTGAATTGCCTCTGAACCAGAAAAAAAACCATGAGCAATCCTCTGTTCTGCAAGCACTCCTCAAGAAGGAAAATGGCATTGAAACCACTGGCAGTGGCTATGCAAGAGTGTGCCTACAAGGCCGACCTCACTATGAACATGAGTCCTGCAGATGTGAACCATTTTGGGTTTTCATTCTCTCTTTCAGACCTTAAGGCAGGATTTTTTTTCTCATTGCTTACTGACATTTTCCTGCTGACTTCAAGTCTTTCTGTAGTTCATGGATCTAGGGAGCACTTTGAAGTTTTACATACAGATCAAGCAAGCTTGTGGCTTTCTCCAGAGTGCCTCAGTGTTAGGAATGACATCTAATTACAGACATTTCTTCCATTTGTTATATCAGGCTGTCTTAAAAGCCTATAGAAAATTGAACACCAAAACATGGCCTAATATTTTGAAGATACATCAAAGATCAATAAAAATACAACAAAGCCAGACAAGATCTTTTCTATATATTGTGAAATTGCTTTGTTTGACATCTAAAGAGCAGATTTGCAGAAGATAAATTCCATTATCTTGAAAGCCTCAGACTCTGCCATTTGCTTTTATTTCTGTTTGAAAGAGATTTGAAGTGCCTGAAACTGGCAACACAAAGCTTGATGCATTACCTGTTGATAAATTTATAAATTCTTCAGATTTGTTATCCAGCTACCAATCCCGAAGAGATGTGCATGACTTCATCATGAAGACAAGGAGTTTGTAATGGAGCTGTGCCTCCAAGCTGTGACTTGCCACCTAGGTCCAGTAGGAAGGCACCACCTTTCAATGGAAGGTGTGGAAATGCAATAGGATAATAATCCCAAGCAGCATGGGATTATTGGATGCATCAAGTGCAATGGGATAACAATCTTACACAACACTGTTTTCTCTCTGTAAAGATGAGAGACAAAGTTGCCTGGCATTGTGAGGAGGGAAAGAGAAGTGACCCCTGGAGACCCCAGCAGAACAGATGATGTTTCCAGTAGCTAGTAATGTTATTAATTGCCGTCCACTGATTGTAGCAGTGCAGGTCCACCCCAGGTCCTTCAGCCACTTTTCCAGGCTCCATGCTAGAGCATAAAGCAAAGCGGGGCCAGGAGAAAAACTCTCAGGGACAGCCCAGTGTCCGTAACAGGAGCTCAACAGCACACATAAAAGATCCAGCTCCTCTCTGATCACAGCCTTGAAAAGATAGGGTAAAAGGTCGCACACAAAACTTGTATCTGAAATCCAATTAATCTATATAAAGGTTTTTGACTGACAGGAAGACTTAGATTTAGATTAAGATTTAGACTGTGATGTGACTTCATGTGCATGTCTAACAAGGGCTTTGATTGACAGGCCATCAATTATTGCATGTGTCTTTAGGGATAATTACATCTGTTGAATAGCACTGTATTATTTGAAGAAAAAATGGGTAACATTTTAAATTTGATCTTTCTTCTGCCACATGATATGGCATGAGAGAGAATGTTTAATTCATGATCTGGAAATCCATTTTCTAAATTAATTCTGTCCACATCCTTTCCTCTGAGTTGGAGCATGGTGGGCTATAAACCGGGCAACTACCAAAGAGAGCACATGAAAGAACTTCAGCAAAAATATTTTAAATAAAAGAAACACAAAAAAACTTGTAATTTTTAAATACCAGCTCTCAGCCACCTGCTATCAGTTGTGTATAAGGGGCAACTCCCAAGGAAGAGAACTGCAGCTGCATCCACTTATTTTGCCCTTGCAAGCAGATTCTCAGCTGATGTAAAATGACAGAGCCTATTGCACTCAGTGGCATAATTTTGCAGCAGCTGAGAACATGTGCTTGAGACTCTAAATTAGCCTTCAATGGAAAGTTGTGTTTCTGTAAGCTGGTTGGCTAAATAAGGACATGTCTATAAAACTGCAAATATTGCAACAAGACAGCAAAGAGGAAGATAGAAGAAGTAGTTGCTCAGAGTCCAGCTCTTTGGGGGAAAATCAGTGGAAAATGTTCCTGTTACACATTTGCTTTAAATTCTAAGCTGTCCTCTCAAGTCCTGTTTGACTGCATGGGGTGCAGAGCAAGCATCACAGCACAGCTTTCAAATATCTGTCAGTGGACTCTGCCTTAAACTCCGTGTGTTGCTTGATTTTACATTCCCAGTAGTTGCATGAACTCAGAAAAGCACTACAGGATAAAGGTACGGCAGGAAAAAGATCTGTGTGTAGAACAAGTTATAAAGGGCAGAAAAGCAACTGAACCATCTAGAGCCCTACTTATTGTTTTTTTGGAGTAGAAAAATGGCGAGAAGTTGAGACTGCTGCAGAAGGATGTAAATTCCTCAGCTCTGGCTGGGGAGATCAAGTGACAGTAGCAAACAGATCCCTGTGGCTGAGTGATGTGTCTGGATGAGACACAGGGCTGGAGAGTTCCATCCCATTGAACTACTGATGCCTTTGGTAGATGACAGCAAAACTGGTTTTGCCCTTGCACTAATGACCGAATTCTGCAGTTTTAGGAAAAACCTCTCTCT